ACACGACCATTTGCGATTGGTCGCCAACAATCGTGAACGGTTGCAAATGGTCGCAAAGTGACTGCTTTGGCTAGCAGCTTCCCGACCGATTTTCCAGTCGTGCGACTGCAGTCGCAAGACTGCTGAAACCAATCAGCGATGCACAGAAGTGACGCCAGCATTTCTTTATATCCACGCTCATTGTTTTTTTTTATTTTCATTGCACTGGCTTCCTGCCGCCAGGTACAAATGAGTGCGTTCCCCTGGGTCTGTGGCACCATGGCCCTACGGAGTACTTGACTTGGAAATGACGGTGCGCAGCAGCTCGAGCAAAATGTCGTATTACGTGGCAGCATTCGCAAAAGCTAAACATTGTTAAAAATAAAGAGAAAGTTTATTGTGCATTATCTTTCCCTGTATTCAGAATTGTTTTTTGTCTTGAACTTGACTTGCCACCGCCTTCAAAGTAGCTTGTTTGGAATGCGTTTGCGCTTCATGCCTTGGCACCAACTAAAGATGCCGCGTTCGAGACGCATTTGTGCTGCATTGGAGGCTGTGGCAAGTTGAGGTAATTTCAAGGTCCGTTTCTGAATACGTACCAATCTCGGATATACTCCTTGTAATCTCGGCGCATATCGAGAGGTAGGCGGCTTGCATGGCCGGCCAACTCTCGCGAGCGAAGGAACGGTCACAACCACCACCGACTTTTTTTTTTTTTTTTTGGAGGCTTCTGTGCTTCCAGCACTGACACCATGGCACAGCGCATCAGCACCATGACAATCTCTTCTCTGACAATCTCTTGAATTGAGCTCTTGATGCTGCTGAGAACGCTGTGCAAGAACGGACGAAAACAATAAATGTGGCACACTCAGTTTGCTCTGCTCACTCAGCTGGCGGCCATCAGCTGATCGGTGCTGGTCTCTAGAGTTCTCGCTGATAACAAGATCTGGACGCGAGTCTTTGGTTTTGCGACTTCCGTCGCTCCCACGTAGCCTCTGTCGGTGTGAACATCAGTCGCTTCTCGGTCGCCAGTCGCAAATCGGTCGCACGACTGCTGCTGGTCACCATTGCATATCAGCCTTAAGTGTCACCAATATCACCAATTGATTTGTATTTTAAGCTGTATGGACATTCAACTTTGAGTATACCATGCACTGAATCGTCAGTAGGGTAAAAAATTATCCAGTTCGGTGACTGCACCTAACCAGGAACATGATGGGTCCACCAGCAAGCCACTTCGAAATGCCTCCACTTCACGGCCTTTTGTCCTCATCGTTGATGTGTACCACTGTACAGCAGATTGCTTATTAGCAACACCATACCTTCACAAACAGAACGTCTTGGTGTTAATGCAAAAACAGAACATGTTCTACACTTTGTCTCACTAGCTCTTGAAAACTGCGCTGGCCAGAAAGTCATGGCTGTAGCCTTTGTAACATCTTGACTTATGGCAAGATGCAGACATTGACCACTGTCATGTTATTTCAGTAATGGACCATACCTGTCATTACAGAATTAGGCACAAAGAACTAGTGTTAACTAATGAATCCTTTGTTCTGACAGGCTGCTCGAACACAGGTCTCTCTTCAATGTGAAGTTGTGCAGGACCTTTCTTTGTTCACAATGTTCTCTGCAGCACTGTTCCGAAGGAAGAAGCATTGTCAGGCGATAAAGGCGAACTTCTCGCCAAGCATTACTTTAGGCCTGGCTTCTCGTGTTTTGCTCCAATGTCACAGCCTCCTAGTGGGATATTTGAAGTTTCTAAAAAGAAAAGATAATACCACCTTATGCCGAAAGTTTCTCAATATCTCTGTAAGACCTCAACAAATGTAATTTTCTACTGCTTTGGAACTTCAGTAGAAAGCTTTCTGGATCTTTAAGCAGAACTTGTATGGCAGCTCTGACTTGAATTACACATTACTTCACATGGTACAAAAATAGCTTAGCAGTACTGGCCGAGCAAATAGAGTGGCATTCTGTACTATTATGAGGCTGCATAATTAAGGATTGCCGGCAAAATGTTCATTTGGCCCTGGCAGAGATGGCTGATGTATCCTGCTAGGAGTGAAGAATTTTGCTTGTGAGGGCTGATCTTGTATTCACCTCAAGGATACATGCTTGGTCAGCAGGGCACTGCATGCATGTGTGTTGCCACTCCATCGAATGGCTGGACAGCTGAGGCCGCATTGGCAGGGCAGTGCTGTACGTGTTATTGATGCAATCTCTGGTGCCACTAATGCCTCATACCCATGAGGCACAAGTGGCCTCAAGTATTTCAGGGGACTTCCCCTTGGAGTCTGTCCAAATCTCAAGGTTCCTTAGATGATTTGGCACTTCTCCAGGTGCTGTGTTAAGGCAATCGAGCAGGAAGCTGCAAGTTCAGCTCCCACAGTTTTGATGTGAGAAGCCAGGTCTACGAGTGTGCCCTTTTTCTTCCTTGCATCGTAAGACTATGTATGGATTGGGTCAACGAGTCCATCCTCTCAAACACCCCTCCAGTCAACAAATGTCATCGGTAAAAGAGCAAGAGGGCTACTTAGTGCCTGGCTGTCGCTACTGTTATGGCAAATCCGTGCAATACATCTCCGGTGGTCCCTCTTTAAGTCTGTTTGTTTTCAAAAGAAGTGTTAGCTTCAATGCAGCTCCAACGTAGCTTCACCCACCACTCCAACCAGTGGCACACTGGTACTCGGCTGATGTTACAGAGCCACAAGCCTTGATAGTTATCATGGCCTCTTAAGGCCTGGATATTTTTCTTTGGCTCCTGTAGCACAGGCACTTAACCAGGACGGCACCAGGGCTGAGAAGAAAGAGTACAAATGTGGTTAAGCAGAGTGCAATCTGATTTGATACATAAAAAATCTGCTGCGAATTCTCTGTATCATTGACCACCACAAAATAAAAAATGAGGAAAAACAGTGTGTTGACGTCATGTTCTCACATGCAAGCCACTATAATAGAAAAAGTTCAATTGGTCTTTCAACCACTGAAATGTATGGCACTCGGCCGAACAGTTTTGGAGCACTGACTCCAGCCTCTTTCAGTACAACTCAAGCCTCAAAGCAGGGTAGGCATATATGCGGAGCTGGCCTGGAAGTTTCCATGTACAGACTTCTTATAAGATTTTTTAAAGTACGATAGTCTTTCTTGGGGACCTTCGACACAAAAATTTTGGTCTGTCTGTCGGTCCGTTTGTCTGTTTGTTCACCCTTAATGGTATCGTGCACTTTAGGCGGCACCAGCGGATATCCCAAACGGCCGACCCCATCCACAGCGCCCACCAATGTTGCTCAAGGTTCAGCGTTCATACTTGTGCAATTGTCAAAAAGCAATTATCGTGCATATTTGAGGCACCATAACAACACCTATATATTCTGTATGTGCATCTTTTACTAGAAAAGGCATACATAAGTTATTCTGAGAACCGTAGCGTTCATAACGCGGCTCTGACCATGCAACGCTATGACGAAAAGGCGAGTGCTTTCAAAGCTTGGCTAAGACGAGACGGTGGTTGCCCCTACCCGTCACCTTGCGTTCTACACCTTGTCACCTCTGAGACGGGCGCGTACGCCTGTCTCAGAGCCACGCGCTACGTTTTCTAAGAAAACTGCCAGATAGCGCTCATGTCTTGCGTGTGACGTGAGTTGATGCGCTCGTTTCGCCTACGCTGCATGCTCGAGGCACTCTAACGCAGCGACTCTAGAATACTGTTCACCGATTTCTTGGGCAGAGCATCAAATAAATGTTTTGTTCACTCTCTAACACGCAAGACTATCCTCTTTCGACGACAGTTTGCAGATTACCATGCAGATACGGGGCCAATTTTTTTACAGTCTGCATTAGACGCCCACTTGGAAGTATCAGTGCAGTGTAATGACACGCTGGAATGAATGTGCACAAAACAAGCGCGCACAATATTCAATGCATTTAAGACTGCCTTCAATAAATATTTATTTTTTATTTCATATTTTATTTATTTTAGACCTTCTCGGTACAAGCAGGACTGATAGTATATCAAAAGGTTGCAATTCTGGTTACAATTTTAAAAATTATGACAAAGCATTTCAGTGATACTAATGCGATTAAAAGAATACAAACGGTGCGTCATCTACGCTTTTAGAATTTTTTTACCCATGGTTATGACCTGGCTGGCAAAAAAAAGACTCTAGAGTAATGAATGGTACAATCAAGGCTACTCTGTATTAATTTATTTGATGCCAAAGCAATAGAAACAAATGGGAACAGCAGAGCACTAATGCTCTGTGATGTTGGCATTTTGTCCTTGTTGCGTTGGTGCACATAAAGTGATAAGAAAACATTCCACAAGAAAAAAATTTGATGGAAATACTTTGCTGTCGAAGGAGCGGTGTGGACAGAGGAAGAGTCTGTATACCACTTACACAGCAGCTTCAGTCCATGCTCAAAGGAACAGCTCAACGATCCGCATGCACTGACGCAGTCAAAATACGCGGGTAGTCGCGTTTCTGTGTATTCATCTAGAATAATGCCAAGGTTTCTCGACCAAGTCAAGTCTTTGTCTGCCATGAAGAACGGTGAAATAACGTTTTAATGTTGCACGCAAAGCACCAACAACCTTCCACTAGCTTTCCCAGGCACCATATCCACACCGTGCCCAAAACATGGCCGACACGCTTACTGTCCAGGTAGCCAGACTTACTTTTTTAAAGGGTCAATGCAATACATTTCAAGAATGTTTTAAAAGGGAAGTGAAGTAACGGCATGTTTCCAGTGGTTGTTCACACCAGTGTTGGCAGCTTACACAGTGTTGGCAACGTGAGTAGGTAATGTTTCTTGGAAGAAAATTGCATTTCGTAAAGGCACATGCATATACATGGTTATCTATAGTGCACCTGTTAGACAGTATTGTTAAAAGGGCATGAACAAAGAAAAAACCTCTTTCATGCTTCTCAGGCAGTGTAGCTTTGATATAAAAGGAATGTCATGCCAACATTATGTTTTCAAGTGCACTACTGCCATTTTCATGGTGCATTATTTCGCAGGTGATTTGGACCAAGTGGAGTCATTTGTGTTCATGAAACAGGGTCCGTTGGTGAGTAAACTCTGCACTGCTACCACATCTGACAAGGCGTCTGTCAACTCTTTCGTTACCACACCAATTCAAATCGATCACCGGTGATCGATGCTTTTGAATCATTGATTTCAGCATGTTAAATTTGTTTCTCGTGCACCTAGCACTTTCTAGTTGTAGTTGTTAGTCCAGCCACTCAACTTTCAGAACCAATATGAATTTGCCCGTTTGGCAACATAGCTGATTTTTGACAGACCTTGCGTGAACCAATGTGTGTATTGTTGGAAAAGTGCACTAGGCTGCCAAACTTGAGAGATTGTGTGCCCCCTCGTGATTATGCTACAGTAACATCGATGTTCTGTAATGAAAAGAAACTTTGCAAGCTAAATATTGAATTAAAGTGCCAGCTTTGTAATTTGATTATCCTGAGCAGTGATAATTGCCAGAAATTTTTGCTAGCAATTCAATAGAGAGCTATTCCTAGGAGTCTGGAAAAATTTGTTCCACAAAAATATTTACGAAGGTCCACCGCGTGCTTAATATCTTGAAGTGGCCTTCTCTGACAGTTTCCAGCAGCTTTGGTTTGTTTTGCTCGCATTGTTATATCAGACACAGGGTCACATCTAGTGTCGCTAGCTCCTATGACATCGTCACCACACGCACATGGGTGCGCACCAGCGCTTCCAAACACATGGGCTGCTCGGAATTGTCTTGCAACCCCACCTGAATTGAGTGAGGACGAGCTTAAGAGTTCGAGGAAGATAGCACCTCAGCTTCAAGTTTCATGGCAACAATGTTTTGCGTCAGCCCAAGACATCCCCAGCTATTCATGGGTTTGTTTTGTTTACATCCTCAGGTTGTCTCCTTCGCCGCAAGTGCGTGTAGCTTCTGATCTTTGTGCACAATCTTATGGCTACTCTGGTTACGTGCGTGGTCCACACTTTCCTGGGGTGCAGTGTGCTGGGGCTGGCTGCACAGCTTCTCGCGACAGGGCCCCCGGAGCACATCTTAGCCCTGACTACGGAGCAGTGCGACACGTTTTAGAACTGTGTGAGATATTGCCATTTTTTAATATGATATGTGCATAAATGCAAAGAAATATGCTTGGATGCATATATTGGAATGCCAACCTATGCAGAGTTAGGCGGCTCATTCATAGAGGGATTATTCACATCATGGGTATTCATCTATACTGGAACACCTGAGCACTCTTATCGCAAGACAACAAAAATTTACTGAGAAAAGTGTACGAGTAAGTTTGTGTCTCACGAAAAACTATGCAGTTCTTCACTGCATGGCATGTGCAATGAAGCAGCACCCCAGTTTTGGTTTTCTTTGTCTATAGGAAGAGAAACATTTTGTACTACATACATTATTTCTTATACAATTTACTTCAGATGGAGGCGGAAATTTTGTAGGCCCGTGTGCTCAGATTTTGGTGCAGGTTAAAGAATCCCAGGTGGTCGAAATTTTCGGAGCCCTCCACTTCGACGTCTCTCATAATTATATGGTGGTTTTCGGACATTAAACCCCACATATCAATCAGTTTTATACAGTTCCTAGGTCATTTATCTACAAAATTTTTATTCTGAATTTTCTTTGTCGAATATTTTTGCATATATAGTACTGTTCTTTATTATATTGCTTGCCTGCTGGTAACTGAAAATCACGCCCTTTTCATATTTTGTTCATTCTAAAAAGTTTTTGTGGCTTGACAACATACATTTTTCGGAAAGAGCATTTAACTGTGCTGAGTTTGGTATGCTGCAATTCATCGTGGAGTACTTTTCAAACTGCAGTGATCAGACTCCTGCGCCAACTGCGCCAAAGTGTCCCAAATTAGATTTAGTGGGCGTTCTGATGTCAACAGAAATTGCACCAAACTGCGCTAAAGTTGGATTTGGGAGCGTCTATCACCGGCAATAGCCACGTCGGCGCGTCAATAACACGTACACCTTGTTTTCGGGGCCACCGAAATCATCATCACAGTATCTATTTTATTACGCTGAATAAACAGCGGTCGCGCGTGCGTCCTAAAAACAATGCTATAGGCCTCCCAACCTCGGCCAGGGGCTTCTGCGCTGCACGCGTTTTGCTGCCTTTCTAGCAAAAGCCCATCGCTCTGTACCCCGCTGCCTGCGCTCTCTCAGCATGTCCACGCGCTCTGCACGCGCTATTGTATGGTCGCTCTGCTCAGGCAGCGTCACCTGTGACTTGGCCCGAAAGATCTAAAATATTGTAAAAACGGCTTCATGGTGTGAATCTCGCCAGAACCGAGAGCGATTTATCGACAACCTTTGCGGGACCGAGCAAGTCGAACACGATGTCTTTGAGCGAGTGCTGTGTGTATGTCGATGGTGAACAGCCGTCTTTCTATGACATTAAAAGTGAGGTGACTGCCCGAATTCTCTATGTATGTTACCGGTAAAACGCGCATTTGGTGAGGCACTTGTCTTTTTTTTTTTACAACCGTGTCTTCTCGGAGGTGTTGGCAACCACCACCCCGCTTTCGCACGTGTTAATATATAGCGTACGGATTTCGATTTCTTGGTAGCCAAGTTTGTACCGCTGCTTTAAATTTTTTAGGGGATCAGTGTGAAGAGACTAAACTTATGTCTGCCCTGTTGAATCCCTGGCACCATTTCAATGTGCAGTGTTCAGTTTCATTAAAGTTTCACTTTTGCCGAAGTTTTCATCGGATGTAAACAACGTCGTATTTTATGTTCAATGCCACCTTGAATTTTTCACTGCTCCTTTGAAAGCATAGTGATAAAGTATTTTATGCCCACTTCTACCATACGTGTTTCCTGCAGTGCATGTTTCATTTCGAATAATATGTATTCCATTGATCGTGAAGCGTGTTCACTGATTCGAATATCGCTTTTTGGCAGCCCGCTTGGTCTTCGTGATGTTATACAACATCCACTAAGATCGAGCATGTTTGGTTATGCCGAGATTTGCTTGTGCTAACAGAGTGTAATTGTCGTGACACCATCGACAATTTTATTGCCGCCTTGGTTCCTTTTTCAACTCGTTTTCATAGCGGCGGCCGTATATCGCCCTTCGCTGAGGCAGATGCAAGGCTATTGTCATGGGGTCATGACGTGGACGAAGGATGCAGACTTCAATTATGAGATGAAACTGTTTGTTCAACCGAACTTGTGGCTCATAAACCGAGGGTCAGATTATAGCGATGCCTACTGGCACTGGTAACGGCGAACAGAGCGTCAGCCGTCGATCAACTGGCAAGTGGCGAGGCGCATCAGCATTTATACACGTGTCATCGAATATTCTAGCATTATTATTAGCGGCTTTGTAGGTTCGAGAACAATCTGGAATGTTCGCAAAGTGGGCGTAATAACTAAGTGATCTATTGCAGTCCTGAAGCTTCTCGAACACTGCAGGCGCATTTTGCGCTGAGAATCGTTGGCAGTAAAACGGGGCGATAACAAAACCTGGGGAGAGAATGAGGCAATATAATATTTTACGTGCCAAAACCTTGATATCATTAGAAATCACGCTGTGGTATGAGACTCCAAATTAATTGCGCCCACCCAAGTTGTTATTTTTTTTACGTGCACTTATATAAATCTATTTGAGGTGTAAGGAGTGACGACGACAACGGACAGAAGGTGCACAGACACAGAGCGCCACTTCTGTTTGCATTGAGCATCATCCCATCATATGCTTGAAATATTCAAAACCAACATGCCCTGCCTGCTATTCTTACACCTAAATCTAAGCACAGTGCTATTACTCTTTGCTCCAATGTAAATGCAGCTGGCGTATGCAGGAATCGAACTCATGACTTCAATCCTACCATCACAACACCCAAGCCTGCTATCTTATCGGTGGGTGTTGCTTGCAAGACCTGTACGTATAAACACTCGGCACGAACACGCAGCATAAATCTGTTGGCACTGAGCAGCGACGGCGACGAAAAGTCTACAGCCATCAGCTGAATAAAACACTTGCATGGCTCACGGCACAGTATTTTAATAGCGGTGTATTAAGCTTGCAAGCTCAGCCACTCTCGCACTACAACATGGTTGTCTCGAAAAGCCGGTGCCCAATCTCGAAATGTACAGTGGTTGTCTATTTGCTGTTGCTCCAGTTTAGAAACGTACCATCACGTTTGTCCACGTTGGTAGTTGGTAATACTGTGCATGGCAAATAATTCTTCAGTGTGACAAGACCATGGAAGTATCGACGAACTGCCATAATCCACTCCTGACGCCTTTGCTCCTCCCACTGCTTGCATTGGAAATAGAACTTCTTGGGCAGTTTTCAGCTGCGAGACATTTTCGTCAACTTTTTTGGCAGCTCTCAATACAGCACAAGTGTGCGCCTGCTTTCCAGTATGACTAGGGAGCAGCGCCCATAGCACGCGAAATGTGAAATAAAAGCATCAAGGAACACATTTCCTGTGCGTGCAATGGGAAACCCAAGCAAGCACGGCCCGTCCGAGCAACCGGAGCTTTGCCCTCTATCCACTTGGGCGGTGAACGACGCTGCCAAACTTGAGCCTAGTTTTTCGTTTGTTTGATACTGACCACATGGTGCCGACGCAAATTTGTTCTGCAAGTCCGCTTAACGGCAGATTGTCCGCTTAACGGCATCCCCGCAGGCGCTGATGACGTCTAGTCCAATCAGTAGCGAGAAACTGTGGCGGCGATTCATCGGTGGACATCGTCTGCTCTAGGAACGCTGCTGATAGTTCATTTGGAGAGTTGTGCAGCATGTAATAAAGCAATTTTTATTAGTAACTGCACGCGTGCCGCCAGAATGTATGTCACGTCTGTGTCTGGACATCGCGATCTGATTTTTCATGTCTGCACAACAACACGTAAATGGTGGGAACGTGTCGACACTTTTCCTCTTATGTACGTTATCTATGAATGATCATACAGAAAAGTTGTTTCGAAATTCCTTCCACCAGCATATCCGCGTTTATAATCGCTGTGGTAGTAAAAGCCCCTAAGAGACCTTACCGTTTCGAACTAAATGTTGCTAGGGTCTGT